CAACAGTTATGATTATGTTAAAAGTATGGAACGCCTCAGCTGTCTTATGTGGAACTCTGATATTACTTTATGTTGTTTTATTATTACTTGATGATATTTTGTCTTTACTTAATATGGTTTTGACATTACATAATGATGTTTTAATATAACTCAATATGGAGTAGTCATTACGTAATGATATTTCGATATTACACGATATGGTTTCGTATTGACTTGATATAGTTTTGTCATTACTCAATATGGTTTTATCAATACTTGATGTGGTTTCACCATTATTTAATGTGGTTGTGTCATTAGTCAATATGGTTTTAACATTACTTGATGTGAATGTGACTTAACGTTATGTAGTTGTTTCATTACTTGATGTGATTTTGTTATTTCGTAATGATGATTTGCCTATTCTGTATATGGTTTTAACATTACGTAATGATATTTCAAAATTTGACGATTTTACACTACATGATGTGTTTGTTTCATTATTTGATGTGGTCCTGTCATTCTTTGATGTGGTTATCCCATTACTTGATGAGGTAAAACCACGTGACCAATTCGGAAAAAAATATGTTCTATTTTTAAACAGATTTTGATATATCATTTGTTTAATGTGCTTTGGATGGGTATCGCTATCCATTGAGTTAAAGTTCAAATTAAAGTTCGAGTGGTTGTTCAGAATTATTTAGCATGAAAAAGGTAACCGGCAAACAATAATAAGAAAAAAAGTATTAAAAAGTTTACAGTATTTCTTACATAATTGTGATATCCCCAAACCACTTTGTCTTGTTGTTTTTATCCTAAGTTCTCAAACGGAAGCAGTATTTTTGTAATAAATTTGTAAAATATTCCACGGAACCCTATGTCTCGCCTGATATTGCTGCTGTAAGTGTAAAAGCGTCATGTTGATCGGCTGTACGTTTATCTATACATTTATCGGTAAAAAAAAAATAAAAAAAAAATGTTGGGTCTCTCTGCCGCTACATTGATGTCGCAGGCTCGACACAAATCAAACGACTTGAAATTTAATGTTAACAAATGAAGCACTTCAAATCAACTCACACTAAAGTTACAGGGAAACGGGGGAGGGGGGCTCGGACTTAGCGACAAAGCATCAATACTATAAAATAAGAATTCTCCGATTTTTTTTTAGCGTAAATGATCATTTGAACTTCTACAAATATCAATCTTTTATTTGTAATCAATTGACTTCCCTGATCTACCTCGCACTAATTGAAAAAAAAACTTTTTGGAATATTTGTTTCACATGTGACGACGGACATGTTCCAGTGGTCGTAACCATAATACTGTCATCTTTTTCTTGAATGTGAACTACCAAATAAAACCAAATCACTGGGTTTGTACTTTCTCGAATAACACGACGGGTGCCTTTCTGGAGCATCCGAGATCACCCCGATGGATTTATATTACCCAGTCATACCGATCTATTGAGTCAGCCAAATGTAACTGTTTTGTATGCCACCGCAACTGAAAGTTGGGGGGGGGGGGGGGCATATTGTTTTACCCCTGTCCGTCCGTCCGTCCGTCTGTCCGTCCCATTATGGGTATATAGTTATTCAGCATAACTCCTCCTACAGTTTTAATCCTAGGAAGTCAGGGTTTAATATTTATTAATATTTGCTCTTTTGGGAGATAGTTAAACTTTGTAATTTTTTGGGAAATTTACTTGCATAAGAAGAGCGTTTCCAGATAACTCCTCCTACAGTTTGAATGCTAGGAAGTTTTCGCTCTGCTGGCTGTTTGTACATATATTGAAGGTGACTGTGCATGTGGTCAGGGTTTTTATTTTTATTATCTTTTGCTCTTTTGGGAGATAATTGAACTTTTTTTTTGTCATTTTTGGGGTATAAGCGGTTAAATGAGTTGAGCGCGTGGTATCACTTTGTCTAGTTTACATTTTTTTCTCGTGTTGTGCTGTTACACAAGTGTAACAGTCCGATGTAAGGTTAGGATTTAGCGCTCACATACATGTTAAACTCCGCCACGTGCACTTTCTTTATGGTCCTGCCCCAAATCAGGAGCACGAAGTTCAATTGTTGTCGTTGTATAAATGTGTGTCATTTTTTTTTGTAGATTGTTTAAATATAAATAAGACCGTTTGTTTTTTCGTTTGAATTTTTTCACATGGTGCATGGTGGCCTTTTATAGCTGACTATATGGTGTGTTAAAGGTTGTACGGTTGCCTATATATGATTTCTTACAACCACTGCATTTAAACTTTGATGGATAGTTGTCTCATTGTCAATCACACCACATCTAACTTTATTTCAACTTCTATGTTGCGTTTTGTATACTGTAACATTGTTTATCTTTTGTACGCATACCCCGGAGCCCTCTTTTCGGAATCCCGAGCAAAAGTCCTTGTTCCGGGATAGAAAATTTAATTACGAACTCATATAAGATAGCACGAATTTCAACTCAAAATCTTAATTAATCTAAATGAGACTTAAATTCGAATCTTACTCAAACTCAAAAAGTGACTCAAATTTAATGGTGTAACTAGAACTCTACCTTTAAATGTGACTCAAACTTGAAGTCCAACTCAACACTCAATGCTAACTAAAACTTTAATTCTAATAATGACTTGAATTCGGAATCGGAAACTAACTCAAAGTTCTACTCAAACAGTAACCCTAACTTTAATTTGAACTCTAATTAGATGGATGGCCACACTCATCCAAGGCACATACAACATGGAAATCTATCTAAAAATAGAACAGGTTTTTCTCGAATTGGTCACGTGATTTTACCTCATCAAGTAATGGGATAACCACATCAAAGAATGACAGGACCACATCAAATAATGAAACAAACACATCATGTAGTGTAAAATCGTCAAATTTTGAAATATCATTACGTAATGTTAAAACCATATAAAGAATAGGCAAATCATCATTACGAAATAACAAAATCACATCAAGTAATGAAACAACTACATAACGTTAAGTCACATTCACATCAAGTAATGTTAAAAACACATTGACTAATGACACAACCACATTAAATAATGGTGAAACCACATCAAGTAATGACAAAACCATATTGAGTAATGACAAAACTATATCAAGTCAATACGAAACCATATCGTGTAATATCGAAATATCATTACGTAATGACTATTCCATATTGAGTTATATCAAAACATCATTATGTAATGTCAAAACCATATTAAGTAAAGACAAAATATCATCAAGTAATAATAAAACAACATAAAGTAATATCAGAGTTCCACATAAGACAGCTGAGGCGTTCCATATTAAAGACATATTTTTCTGGAGATGAATCTTTAATGCTTCTATTAATTCTCATAAACGCTCTGTCCGTGAAATATTAATGTTTTTACCTATTAAGTTGTGCGTCGTCTTCACACCTGGATCGCTGCAGGCGTGATAAAAACCCGTCCGCATCTATAATCTATATCACGAATTTATAAAAACAATACATTTGATATTATTGCTTATTCTATTTAAAAATTATTACGTTTTCGTCTGTTTATTTATCATTCTACATTAGAAATATATGACAGATACTGTAAAATGATATAGTTACTGTGCTTAACTGTACTATGATCCGCACTGTGTGTACACTGACCACACAGTTTTCTTTTTATTTTTAAGTAAAACAAAATATATATCATAACAAAAGAGAACAATTGATTTAAATATCAAACTCTGAGTCCTTACCCGTCTTTGGCTATACTTTTGTCCATTTAGGTGTATATGCTCTTAATATGTTTTTATTAGATTTGGAATTTCAATATTTTGGCCTCGAGCATCACTGAAGAGACATTTCTTGTCGAAATGCGTATCTGGTGCATAAAACTAGTACTGTTTATGTTATTAAACATTATAAATAAAATCAAACATGACGCACATAAAACTGAATACAAAAAGTTACCAAAAAGTATTGAACAGTACAACAAATCACACCTAACATTCCTTCGAGACTGTGAAGTTCAACGTATGTCCTAAGTCAGGAGCCTGTTGTTCAGTGGTTGTCGTTTGTTGATGTGGTTCATAAGTGTTTCTTGTTTCTCGTTTTTTATATAGATTAGACCGTTGGTTTTCCTGTTTGAATTGTTTTACACTAGTCTTTTTGGGGCCCTTTATAGCTTGCTGGTCTGTGTGATCCAAGGCTCCGTGTTGAAGGCCGTACTTTGATCTATAATTGTTTACTTTTTACACATTGTGACTTGGATGGATAGTTGTCTCATTGGCACTCACACCACATCTTCTTATTTATATAAACGAATAACACAAAGTCTAGATAGCATGACTTGGCTTAGGCACATAATGCGTTGGGGTTAAATAGTTTACGTGCACTCTCCACCACCATCCAAAAGAATTAATTATCACAGACACGAAAATAGATAAATATATTTCGTTTTATTATTCAGTGTCCTTATTCCGTACCAGATAAAGGAAAGTAGAGAACTTGAAGCATAATGAATTTAACGCAAAATTCCCCCTTTTGGTTAAAAGTTTTAAATACCCACTCACGATTTGCTAATTTTGTATTCATGTATTTAATGACTTTTCGGAGCAGGTCAAATTCTTTTCTAATTCGTTCAGATTGGCAGTTTTAAATGTTTTGAAACACCTAGGCATCGGGGATTTAAAAAATGTAGATCTTTTCATCATGGTATTGATAAAACGATTCTGATGATGTTCTGTTGTGATAATCATGCATGATAATAGGTTTCTAAAACTTTACTAAAAAATACTAAAATCTAAAACATTATATTATATACGAAACTGATAGTAATACAATACAAACTCTCACAAAATTCAATTCAAAATAAAAGTAGTTCCACTCTGGATTCTAAGAAAAAATAATTTTTCTCGGAAGAGGTATTACACCTGTGATTTTTCGTGACAATTTTTTTAAAATATGACTACAACTTACTTATAACTTGACACAAAAGGTTGTATAACTATAATTGATTTAAAAGTATAATTTTATTGCACACACTTATGTACAATGTACCTCTTATCTAGTCACATGTTTGTTTATTGTGTTGCTATGTATAAATATATGGACTTACAAAACATTATACAATTAGTTATTAGGATATATTCAAAATCGAGTACGTATATACTGAAAACAACGAAAAGTAAGTTGTATTATCCTTTTTAAAAAATGGTGTCATTTTAAAAATATTTATTGAATGACTTACGAATATAACGTTATTCAACAGTGCAGTCAAGTTTTCATTCAAGCTTAAACAATCGATACCTGAATCATTCTATATCACACATTATGCGTTAGTACTTACCTAATATTCTCAAGTTTTAATTTTCAATTCGCTATGAATAATCAATACAGTATATTACAATTTACATACTTTTACAGGAGTTTTTGTCAAAATAAGTATGCATACAATATGTGAACAATGGTCTTTGATTGTGTATAAATATCATTCGGAAAGCTAAAAACTTCTGTTTAAAAAAAAGAAGATGCTGTTGGATTGCCAATGAGACAGCTATCCATTACAGTCCAAATGACGTGGAAGTAAGTAACTAGAAGTCACCCGGGATTTTAACAACACTACGGTTTGCATATTATGTTTTCTATGTATAATAATTAGGATTTTGTTATTGCCGTTTGTCCTTTCCTCGTTTCGCCCGGAGTGTGGGAGGTCAAGGGTTCTAACCCCGGCCGGGTCAAACCAAAGACTTTAAAATTGGTCTTTGCTGCTTCTCCGCTAAGCATGCGGCATTAAGAAGTAAGAGCAAAGACTGGCTGGCTCTGAGTCAGAATAATGTGTCCGGGTAAGGTGACAGGTCTTCCTGCGGACTGTAACCTTGTGAACTAGCACGTTTAAAATCCGGCTCAGCGTATCGTTCTAGTACAAAGCAGGGTTAGTATTTATATTACATTAAGATATTCTCGTTCTGAATATGCATATTAATTTGTCGGTGCACGTTTAGCAGCCATCCATCATCATTATCATCATTCTTTCGTCGTTAAATTGTTAGACATGGTGTTGTATGTTTTAATGGCTCCTTGGTATCATCTCTATTTTTTAGTTACGTTTTTGGACACTTTTATTTTTTTTTTCTATTTTTATTTTTTTGAAATATTTTAATCTACTCAATTATACAATATATAACTACCAATAAAACAATTAACAAGGAAATGTTGTTTAAATATTCATGTTTTCCTTTACAAGCGAAGTGACGAAAACAGACTGGACTTAAAGATTCTTTATATCTGTGTATCTGAAAAAAAACTAGTTAGACACTAAAACATGTAGTATTGCAACAGCTGAAGGAAAATTTAAAGGCGAAAAAAGTCACATGCACTGACGTTACCTGATTGCAACGAACACAACCTACAATGCATTCTTATAAACCAAAAAGTGATGCGAAACGACGTCAGCCTCGTTCTCCAAAGACATTAAATGCTACTCCAATCACCTTACTTGACGGAAGATCATCTCCACGAGGAACAGGAAATCATTTAAGTCGTCGGTGAGATGCTTCAAATGCAACTTTTTTAAAGTATACATGTATTATATCTATTCTTACTTTATACACAAATCAAAAATGAGTTGCCTGTCTAGAACATATGAATAAACGCATGTGAATAAAACAGAAATGTATGATGTAAAAATAAGAAGATGTGGTATGATTGCCAATGAGAGAGCTATCCACAAGAGACCAAATGACATAGAAATTGTTTATATACAATTATTTGACTGATTTTTTTCATCTTTCAATGTCTTATGTGTAATTGATTGTCCAAGTGCAACAGGATAAATCGAAGAGCTTTGCCCCTTAACATTAATATCACTCACAATAAGTTGGTAATATGGCTACTTTTTACCAATAACATTATGCACATAGCCACTGCGATTATTTGTTGATCAAAATCTTAAATCATGTAAATCATAAAAGTAATTGTCTCGAGTTTTTTTTTTTTTTTTTTTTAGAATTTCAATACACGTACATCATGTTTAAACATATTGAACTGTTATACATAAAAAGACACTTTTTCACTTTACTATAGTGCTTTTTGTATTTCCTTTTAAACCAACGTGTAAATATGACTGATCATAAAAAAAATCAGCAAATTGGTAACTTTATTTGTTTTCTAGTCTTTCACCGCTGCATATTTCGTCTTCAAGAAATCTTCCACGACCACCTGATATCATTATTCATTCACCGAATAATGAAAGGACAGAAATCTCAAAAGAACGGTCAGCAGCTAAAAGTGGCAGAAGGAAACGAATAAATTCCAGCAGTAGGCGGCGCAAACGTTCAAGTAGGTGTTTTTATTAACACTTAATAGAATAAACATAATCAATGGTTCTAGATAATATGTCAATTTCAAAACTAAGAAAACGGATACACCACAATTTATCCTTTAGAACTTTACATATTAAACTGACGTGCATTTGGGTAATATGAACTCCGGAAAGGAAATAAATAATGGTTGCTACAAATCTAAATACTTATTTTATGCATGGCTGTACACGACTACAAATGCAACATCTGACATACTATGAAGTATTCATAATCTTATATGTATCCCTTGACAAATGTGGTATTTTAAATAAGTTAATTCTTTGTTCAAGGGTAGTATCATGTTTCATGCTATTCACGATAGAAAATGAACGATAACTGTGATAACAGTTGGACCATGTGAGGTAAATGCATAAAAAATAATGAAGTTTAGTTCTCTGATACTTTCCTGTATCGTTACGAATATGACCTTAAACTGACTTTGCCCACTGAGCGGCATCATAATAAAAGGTCCGAAGCAGAGAGGATATTCTAACCCTTCCATGACATCTTTTTAAATTTACAAACTTAAAAGGAAAACCCTTATTTATCTGATTTTCTGTCCATAAAAAAAATCGTTGAAGGTTTTTTTACTAGTGGAATATGTGAGTTGTATTTATACCACTGCTGCATTAAATAATAGCAGAAGTACAAACGTCACAAGTATAACAAATTTAGGAGCTTCCTAGTCAGTGGGAATCTTAAAATGATTTATTTGAATATCCCAAATTAACGGCCTTTCTACATTCTTTTAACTGGTAGAGATTTTAGAAATTTGTAAATAAGTAATATAATCTGTATACATTGTACATTAACACTATAATTTGGTTTGCTTTTCATTTAAGATCGTTTCTTTGCAACCTGTAACCGTTGTTTTGACTTTTATACGATGTTTGTGTACTAGACCTAATTTGGTATCGTATTATATTTAGTTACTGATACTGCCCGAAAGTCGTTTCGATGTTTCTGTTATTTATTGTAAAGGCAAACATGCACATACATATTACAGATACTCGAAGCAACGTGCATTTCACGTTCAGTCGAACATTTCCGACATTTAACCTCATAGTTTTTACTATCCTTTGATTGAAGTGCCTGGGAATGTATTTCCTATTCTTAATTGAGTATAACTTTGTGTTCGGTTAAATTATTTCAAAACGGAGTTAATTATGTAGAACCAAAGATAGTTTTTATGCATTATCAGTATCACGTTTTCGCAAGACTTCTTAAGATTCATTGTATCTGTGATCACCATTTTTCTGAAGTTTTTATTATTTGAAATTAAAAAAAGTTGGCCCTATTATACATTCTACATTGTTACAATGGTGTCCGTTGCATAGCTCTCATGATCCAATGTTGATTCAAACGGTTTAAAGATTTAACTGTCACTTAAACGCTCAATCTCCGTACAGCGCTCGTTTCCTTTCCGTATACTCAGTACACTACAGGGGTAAATTCAGTAAAAAATCTCCCATTGACTGTAATGCTAATCTATGTCTTGAATTAAATTTATACCTGATTTACCTTTAGAAATTAGAAAATTTCATATATCATTCATGAAAGTACAAATGTAGCCCTATCATTTGCAACAATAAAAACATAGGGTCATGCGGCATTTTTGGGCCTTCACATGGCCTTGTTTACAAACACTGTAGATTCGCACTTAATTCCTTCACTGACCCCCATTACTTTTCAACCCTGTAGTAAAAAAATTTAGTACATTCAGCATTTATTTTTAATTTTTTTTCAACTCTAGTTTTTATCCATCTATCAAAAAATATTTATTACAAACATTATCTACCAATCAGAAGAGCACATGACTTCAGTTTTATACAGAAAGCTCTCCCCCAAATGGGCGGTCCCTGATGACGTATATTTATTTACTGAATTTACCCCTATAAGGGACTTTTTAGTAGCTTTTCCCTCTTTTTTTGTAATAATCATGTAATGTATCCAATTTTCAAGTTCCAGTTTCAATACAACATTCATAAATGCTGAACTTGTAAAGATAGAGGAAAATTTATACTACAGCCCATACTGCGGCCAATGTATATTTGGTATATAAAGTTGCATATTGACTGTTTGTAAAAGAATGGTGTAAAATACTATGCTTAATAAATATGAATTGTTTTCTGTGTTTGCTTTGACCAGTATTGCAAGTACATCTAGAAACTAAAGTCTTGATGTACTCTTAGTTAAATTTTGCCTTATATGGAAGTGTTTGATTAAATACCCTGAAAAGACCACAAAAACACTTTTCAAAGGTTTTTTTAAGCAGTTTCATACAAAAAAAACCAACAATTATGTTTCATTTTACTAAATTTGTGTTTTAATTACTTGTAAAGTTCACAAAATGTCATTGACAATCACTCTGCAGAAATTCCTGTTACCCCAACATCAGGATGGTTTCTTCGCCAAAACTAGACAGACAAAACTGAAGTAGAAAAAAGTGCCAAATATGAAAAAATAAGACTGGGTATGACCAAACTTTGCATTTGGAAGATTAAAGTAACAATTTAAAATATTTAAAAGCAATTATTTAACATAGTAATCCAATTACAAACATTTCAACACTAGTTTCATAGATGAAGGGCATGTAATCATAAAAAGTTATCTACAATTTTTTTTAAATAAAGAAACGCAATGCGTTATGTAAAAATAAATGAATATCTTCATGCGGTCAGATTATTCAAGTGTTAAAATATTTGAAAAGTGCTTATTTACAACTTGTTCTACAACTTAACATGGTGAAACACAGCTAAAAAAATACACTGTCAAAGGGAGGTAATTCTGATTTTCCATATGATTTTACACATAATGAGGAGAAATATGTGCAAAATGTGTTGTAAAATGGGGGGAATATTTATGCCTTTCATTGATATCATAACTCTCAAGTGTAATTTCTATTGTTTCGTTCAATCTGGACACAAAAACTGATTTTTACCATATACCCCATGCTTCCTCTCACAGTACACTCAGTGCATCTTGGATAGCCGAGTTAAACATAGAAATTTGTGTAAAAAACAACTTCAAATGGTTCCAAAATGCTTCCATTGCATTAATATACACAGGAAATAAGTTTTGTGATTATTGTGTGGCCTTGGACAAGTACAGTGACAGAATGCATATTTTCCTACAATACAATATTAAGTGTAGTGATACGAAGTAAGTACGGAACGGATGTGAGCTCTGCGCCGGAGATTGTTAAACGCTATCTTAATACACATATGATTTATCATAACGACTTTTTAACATAAGGATAACTTCGATCCAGTGTCAACATTATCATTTGCTTTTACAATACGTACATGTTGACACTTATCTATAAAAATATATTTGACCATCCTTACAAACATATATCGTCCTTACAATTATAGATTGCATGGTCTGCAAAATGCTTGATTAAACTTGTTTTTATAATTATCATTTATTTTGTGAGATAGCAAATATTCAGAGATCAGACCCGGTTCTTGGTGTGGATCGTGTTGCTCAGTCTTAAGTTTTGTATGAAGTGCTTTGTACATGTATACTATTTATTCTTTAATTTAATTTTTTTTTCGTTTTTTTGCCACGGTATTGCCGGTTTCTATTCGACTTATCCATTTTGATTATGCGCTTGTAATCCTATACCTTTTTATGTGACACCCTGTAACCTGGTTGATGGAAATTATTGGCAACTATAGACATTCTTGAAAGTTAACCCTTAAAGAATGAACGTGTTCTGTATAAGGGCGCCAAAACGCCTATTTCTATAAGTCATCCCACACATGTGTATTATATATTTTCATTCTACCGATTAGGTGTTCTGTACATCTTTTTACTTTTTAAGCACTAATTAGCGTCAGTCATCATCATGATCGCAAAGACGAAATAGTAGCAGACACTGCAAATGGGATATTTTTAACCTGCAAAAATGAATGCCAAATAACAATAATATAGATTATATTGTTTATGTATGTACACTGTTTTGTGCTAGTGTGATCTATTGGTTCAAATGATATACCAAAAAGTTTAGATTCCTAGATATAATCATATGAATATCTAGTTAATATTTTTGAACATGTTGTATCTCTAGATGGCATTTACTGTTAACCCATAATTCTTGCTGGTGGGCATTCTTTCGTTATTCAATCTTGACACTTAAATGCCATTATATGCTTGTTATTCTCCTCTGCATTCAACCTTTACGAAAGTAATGGCCATAATTTTCTGTCTTGTATCTTTGTTATGTGTTTTAATCTTTGGTAGATTGAAGCCCGCCGCCGGATGCGGGATTTTCTCGCCGTGTTGCAAAACCATTGGTGGCCTTGTGCTGTTTTCTGCTCTTTGGTCGGGTTGTTGTCTCTTTGACACATTCCCCATTTCCATTCTCAATTTTATTTCCTTCTAAACTTTGAACCAATACCTAATTGTGTGTTACTTTTTTTATTTATTCCTATGATCAATTTGCAATCCTTTTTTGCTGTTATTTTGAACTACCCTCTCCCGTCATATTGATATTGAAACTATCTGTGCGATATTCTCTTTACAATTTGCAGTTGACACCAACAGAAGTCCACGTCTTGATAATGATTTCAACCTACTGGATGATAGTGCAAGGTACGTGCATGTAGGGGGCTAAGTAACATTTGCTTGTAGTGTGCTGGAATTGTTTTAAGTAGACTTTACTTTAGAAATTCAAGAAATGGTATTGAAGAATATGATGGTTTTACATACTAAACAAGTCTAATAAAGCAAATGTTGGTACAGCCAAATGTTGATACAGCCAAATGTTGGTACAACCAAATGTTGGTACAGCCAAATGCACAAAGAAGTCAATTTTCTGGCGAAAATCACTGATAAACAATAATGACACAGAAAATGAAACAAAATTACCGTTAATGGATATCTCCTTCTACTTTCTTTCCCCCATATGATACTAAAGCAACTTAAAATTTAAAAATCAAGGGTAAAATTAATATTTTATTAATTATATCCTTTGCCTGTGTTAGATCTTTGGTCATCTCTGTAGAATTGGTCTATCGTGGTCATGGAATTATACTATGCTACCATTATCATTTCTGTCAATAATCAGATGCAGTTCAACATGTTCTAAATGCATACAACATTAAAATGGAATTAGGTCGCCATCATTTGGATTGAAACAACCTACATATTCGTTCTATATTTTATGGTTGATAATCGCCTTGTTGGAAAACATATCAGATCACCTTATTATTATATTTTATAGATGGAGTTTGTTTTGTTTTTTGTATTTTTGTTTGGGGGGGGGGTGTATTGAAATGACATTACTCCTTGATATTGATAAAACCGCTATTGTCTGGAATGCAAAAATTAGAAAGACCACTTGAGTTATTTTGATAATACCTTTTATTCTCTATTTTAATTTCAGTTTAAGACGACTGAGTGTATCTGACAATGGTAAGTTATCAATGCTATCGGGTAAATGTTGCAGGTGGAGTATGGTTGCAAATCCTTAAGGCAATGCTAACCTTAAACGGTTTTAGGTGTTCCGTTGTTGTCTTTGTTTGTTTTTTTTTTAGCTCTAAAAATTTGAATAACATTGGCCACTGAACTCGAGAGTACATGATAAAGGTTAGTATTTTACACTAGAAACAAATGTTGTGAGCATGGGAATCATACCACATTTTTTTTATGTGATATGCATATTGTCTTATGAATAGACAAAATTGGTTCTATGAATTGTATGACGAAAATGTGTCATTTTTAACTTATTAGGGTTTACCGTGTGTTAGGTATAATACCCCTACTTGCATAGTTACTTGCAGTTATTGACAATTTTGTATTTTGTTGCATTGTTCAATTAAGTGAAATGAGTTTTCCCATAGTTTCGTCATTTTATGAACTAACAAATGTCGACCATTTCTAGCACAATACTTTTCATATGATATTTTTCATCTAAAAGAATTAAAAAAATGCATCGAAATATTTCTAACACATAAATCATATGATAAAAAGCTCCATTTTCTGTGTTAACTACAACTTTATATATTATTCTTTTACAATAGATAATAAATATTAATGCATAAACATACATTGGACAGGATGTGTGGTCACAATTTGAACCATTACATCAGAAAGAATCAACATTCTGACCTATTGGTCTTTATTTTTCGTTCAAAAAGATAACCACGATAACAGGGTATAGACAATGTTTGCAGTTGTTCGTCTACTTCCTTTTAGATTATATTTTCTTAATTTCACTTATGGTGATACGAAATTGACAATCGTTGAAATTTGACTTTTTTATCAAACCGATCCTTTAATGAAACATATTCGTTTTTGTTTGGGTTTTTTTTTCAGAATCAAACTATTCATCGGAAAGTGAAAGCAGGTAAATAACTTAATAACAATTCGTTTCTATGATGTACGCAAAATCTTTTGTTTGACGCCGACAAACACTCCTCTTTTTCACATATACTTAGCTTGTTCTTCGTATCCGGACTAAATTGCAAAATTATGATTCCAGTGTTAATGATAACATGTCAATGCTACATGTACTATGACCGCAATTATCACAATACTGATCACAGGTTGTAACAAGTGACCGATTTAGAAGTAACGAGCAAGATTAATTGTTTATTTCGAACGCAAATGTTACGGTTTAGAAAATGCAATATTCATAGAATCAAAAAGACAATATTTCAAAAGTTTATTGCAATAAAATTAGGTGTACATACTGAACGAAGAAGCACATTTTTGCAGTTTTCTAGATTGCAGAATTTATAGTGTGTATGTAGGCATTTCCACTCATTGATAAAATATATTTTCGCTAATATTAGTAGTTTATGTTGATAAGCCAATCGTTTTCTTGAAAGCACAGTATGATGTCATTTTATGGACACCACAAAACAATTCCGCCGTCAATCAACTTAAATTAAAAGAAATCTTAAAGGCTTTATCGATACAATTAAAACGACAATCATATTTGGTATCGATTGACTAACAAATGTCTAAATTCGCTTTTTATGATCTCTCCGTCTTGAAGACTGTAAAGTATGTAATAGGTTTTGTCTTAGCAAAACGTCTTAAATACAAAAAAATATATAAAATAATACCATACTTATAATATTCATTTTCAAAGACAAAAATGATGCTAGGCAATCTGTATTGCCTTCATGACAAATATGTTATTGTCCTTGCTGACAAAAATATGTCGGTTTTTTTGTTTAATCCAAGTATATAAGCTGTTTTATAACGGAATAAGGTGTTGACATTCAGTTTGTAATCCAACATACGCCAACGGCAATTAATCAATTTACTGAAGGGAAATTCCTTAACAATTATAAATTAAGTCTTTGGTGCTTTGAAGTTTTAACTTAATTAAAAAAATGATTCTTCCTCCTCTCTTCAAAGAGAGGCCAAGGATACAAAAGGGACATTCAAACTCACTAAAATAAACTGACAACGCCATGGATAAAAAGAAAAAGACAAAGACAAACAAACAACAGTTCATAAAACACAACATAGAAAACCAAAGACTGAGCAAAACGAACCCCACCAAAAACTAGGGGTGATCTCAGGTGAGCGGATCCTGCTTCACAAATGGCACCCGTCGTGTTGTTCATGTAAGGACAAATCCGGTGATAAGTCTAATTTTGGTAGGTCACATTCGGGGAAAAGTGAACGGGATTGTAGTTACGACAATTAGAACATATCCGTTGTCATCTGTGAAACGGATATTCCATAACGGTCAACTAACTCGTGATGGCGTCCGTAAAATTTACGAAGGGATGATTTCAACTCCACCACTTGGAACTCTTGGTTTAATAGCTTCCTTGTGAGCAGCCACCCTTCTATCAAGGAAATCATGATAGGAAATACAAGCCCTGGGATATCATATCAACTGGGAGACATACACACCGTATGCAGGTGCTGCTAGAATGTTGATAAATAGAAAAGGGCAGTTCACAATTGGGAACTTGAAATCATCATTTTTGTCGTAAAGTTTTCTTTTCAACCAACCATCAGTGTCAATTTGTAGTCAAATTCAACTACTAGATACCTACATTACGTAACTGTCGTAACAGTTTTTAAATTTTATATTGGGTCTATCAAATGCTACATAAAAACTCTTTCAGATCTATACACCCCAACATCTTATGTAAAAACTTACAAACATCTAGATCTCTTATACATTTAGTAGATACAATCCGATTTTCGCTCGTGTACCAGTAAAAAAAGTGTTGACCTCTCTGTGGTGCAAAATCTAGTTTAGCTGCTCAATATTATTCAAAGTAATTTTGTTTTTGAAAGGGAAACACACAATCGACATAAATTATACTTTACTTTTTCTGACGAATCTTGCATCTATACAATGCATTGTTATGTGAGGTAACATTTTTTATTGAGTTTTGTACTGTAAACGGAAGATAATCTGATTTGAATCATGTTCCATCGAAAATGACCTTGGATGGATTTGGCAATTCTTGTTAGTTTTTATTTGTTTTTTTAATCTTTTATCTACTCGTGTTTTCAAATACAATATTGGCTGTCATTTTTTTTTTTGGCTATGGACGTTCCTGGTGAAAGTCAGTCTAGAAAAGCTCTTCGGACGCAAATGATTTATTGGGTGTTATTTTTATTTAAAGGATCATACATCTGATACTTACCATGGGTAAACATTATGTTTCAGAAACGTCGCTTATTTTTTCTCTGATAAAAAAAAGTTAAAGCAAAAATACCGAATTCCAATATTAATTCAAAGAGGGGAAGTCCATAAAACTGACAAAACCAAACGCTCGACTATATCAACCAACGGTTAAGCGGTTATTTTTTAGGGTAGTTAGAGAAAAAATGGAGCAAACGTAAAAAATAGTCTACGTAATCTATGTAAAAGGTGAATTAGAATTAGGATATAATGTATACATAACAAACAAAGGTATACTAAAAACATCACAGACGTAAGATATCAAGTCTCTACTGACAACTCATCAAAGATGTCAGGGTTATAATCATAAAACATTACACTTTGTATTGTAGACATCATTTTTCTAAGGAGTTGATTTTCCAGGTTATTCTAATAGAAAAAACAATGGATATGGGGTTTCCATCAATGACACAAAATCAATACATGCACAGCAACAACAACAAAAAAAATATTTTTTTTTTTTTAAAAACCACACTAAAAGCAAAGTTTTTAAATTTTGAAATTTTATAAAATGAAAAGTATATTTTCTTTAAGTATATTATTTTAGCCCTCAGGCTGTAAGTTTTTCGAATTTATTCCAGATTTTCCAGTGTTAACAGCTTACTTAGTGGAGGTATGTTAATTTAGGTTTTAAATTGATGGAAATATTTAATGACATTTTGAAATGAACCACTTTCTTTGGAAAATAACATTTTTGTTAGACTGAACAGATCTTAATTGACTGCAAACGATTTGTTTGATCAGTATTGCATTTTCCGCCGCTAATGAGTCTAACGACTTATCGACTGAAAATAATGTTGATGGGTAATATTTATTGTTCAGTCTTTAGAGAGTTGTTCAGATCTAAATGACCGTTTCAAATCAAGCGTCAATCTAATTTGCTCTTTGAATTATATGACATAAAATTACCAATCCAAATTTGGCAAATTATTGTGTTAGGTCCATCAAGTTGGAAAAAACAATGACTGTTTGACAGTTAACTAGTGCAGCAAAATGTAAAATAATATTTTCTCATTTGATTCATTCATATAGTTATTAGATAATTATTAAATATTACATCCATTGATTGAAAATTGTGCTCCGGTGAGGAAAATCTACATTATAACACGAAATTTGAGGCAATAGTAGTTAACATATCTTCAAACTTCCTAAAACCACTATATTTATTTTCTATTATAATTTGTATGCAGAATTATTTTACGGAAAATCAGATCTGTATCAATAAATTCTAGAAAAAGTAATTCAACTTACCCATGCTACCAGGAGTCTAATTTACCACGTCAGACGCACATTTTAATTATATTAGACTCATCTCGTTTTGAAATATTGGAAGGCCTATTCAATAACACAATGTAAAAGTATTCACCAAAGAAATCCCCAAAAAGGTTATAGTTATCAAAGGTACCAGACTTATAATTTAATACGCCAGACGCTGTGTGTTTGGAGTGAGTGTAGAAAAAAGCTTTATTCCTTAATCCAAACAATATCCGTATTTCCATGCCACTAAAGAAATACTAGTTACTGGGCTTGTGATACCCTCGTCCAAGTGGTAGTAAAACGTAACCAAGGATAACAGGCGTATCAATTAACAACCCATACGTGAGTTAGGCACACATAAGACTCAATAAGCGGGCTCAAATCAAAACATTTGAAATGGGTTTGTCGTTATCAAAATATTCTGTTTAATTGAATAATCGGGACTATATTTCTGTGTAATAATTCCTAATGAAAATATATGAATTTCTTAATGACTATTTTAGGACGTGCGTTTGCAGATCAGTAAGTTAAATATTAATATCTTTAAGCACTGTTATTTACTTGATTACTATCTAAGCTGGTTCCCCCCAAGGGAGACTAGGGAATAAAAACAAGTTTATATATAATGAGTATATTAAGTAATTTGTGGTAACGAAATCCCTGACTTAATAATTTGCCAGTTTTGCACAGATTACATGTTCGCTCATGGAAATCCAAAACGTAACTACAGACACGGGCATAGCGAACGATTTGTGATATATAAACACCGTAAGACGGTGCCAAAGGAACTGCACTGTCCAAAAAAGGAAAATTGTTAATAGGGAAAGCAAAATCGTCCATTTTGTCGTAATTTTATGTGTAAGGTTTCTCTGTATAAAACTGAAATATCTAAATCTAGAAAAGGAGAGTTCTTGCTGTTACTATTTGATTTATTTAAAGTAAGTTCCTCCGGTAAATTTCTGCAGTATATTTAGAGAATTTGTCATTATTTAACAAAAAAATGTCATCTAGTTAACGTACGGTAAGTGTTGTTGAACTTATCAATTAAATCGAAATTTAGACGGGTCTTACTGGGTTTGGCCATACACTGTGATTCATCACAGTACAGTAACAAGTTTGCTATTAAAGGGGTACAATTGGTGCCCATAGGAATACCTACAACCTGTCGTTTAACTTTATTGCCGAAACGTACATGAAAGTTGTAGAGGAGAAAAGTTTACTGCTTTAATCATGTCATCACACCTCCAGTGAGTATATCTAGCATATTTCCTTTTCTCATTAGAGAAAAAGGCTGTATACGAGTTATAAAATAAAATAAATTTGCAATCAAATTTATCAAACGACCATTTAATTAAATAGGAAAACTTTTGTTTGATAAGATTGTGTGGAAGTGTAGTATAAAGAGTGGAAAATTAAAAACTATCAACCGAATCAAAAGGACTATCAAAAGCACGTAATTTATCTAAACCATCTAAAGAAATTTTTAAACTCCAAAAATAGTTAATTCCACTATTTTCATATGTTTTAATACAAAAGTTAATGATAAGTTATTTAATAGAAGTTAAGGAACTCGTTAAAAGCGCCGAAAGATTATTAGTAGACCAATTATTAGAGACTGGGATGAAACGGTATTTTACGGGTGTTTTTGTGTAATTTAGGTAACCAATACATAGTGGGGACTTTTAAATGTTCAGAGGGGCCTTAAGCTGAGCTGTGGCAGTGACATGATTATTTAATATTTAACTCTCTGTGGAGCGTACGGCGGCCTTGAATGTAGTTGAATGTATAATTTCATCTTTAAGGACTTCCGTGTAGCATATATGTTACACATGTCTATTACAGGATCTACCTATTGTCTTTATTGTTTATTTGATCTCGTCCTGAACATACATGAATTATTTGCCACTAGACGTTAAGCAACGAACAATCAATTGATATAATCTTGTCTGTTCATTGAAAAAAAACGATGGATGATGCCAAAGGACAAACAATCAAAATCCATACGTCGTAGTGAAACCGTTAAAACATGACCTTTTTTTTGTAAACCGAAGAGAAAACGAAAAGCAATTTTTAAGAACTACATTAAAAACAAAAGACTGATCCCTTCCTTAAACCGATATTAAATAGTGTATCGCTTATTATCATCTATTTCATATCATATTTTGTGTTGCTACATATTGCTAATACTTTGAACAATCATTTCTTTTTATTACTTGGCACGGGTTTCACAAGCGTGAAGATAATATTCTAAGAGTTATTTGCATCAGTCATGCTATGAACTGTAATTCAGAAATGAAATAGATAAACACATCTTATGCGTAGTCTCAACCAGTACTAAAATGATTAACTAGAATTATTTTGTTTTACATAAATCTAATAAAACATTCATAATTATGTCTATTTAAAAATTTGTGTATAACTGTCGCTTTGTTCCCATGTCGTAGTCGAGTTTATTTATCATGTTTATATATGATACTATGTACTATGGGTAAATAAGTTTTTAAAATGTCGATAGTGATATTTTTGGGGCTTAAATAAATGCAATTTTAATTACTGCTTTTGAAATTAATTTAAGTTGAATAGTTTATTAATAAAAGTCTTTTTGCAGACTTACAAAATGTATCTCTGTACTAGATCGAAGAGGACAGTATTATTTCATGAATCACAACAGGAGAGGATATTTTGCGATATTCAATTTTCAAATGTGTGGAGACAAAATACGACTAGGATCTGAAAATGATACTAAACGTTTGCAAACATGTTTCACAAAACTTGGTTTCCAAACAGAAATACTGCAAAATTGTACAACTGCAGAAATGGACCGTGAACTCAAACGGTGTAAGTGTATTTCAAGTAAAACATTTTCTATTTATATACTTAACTGCGGTCAAGCTTAGCGACAGGTCCTACGAAATAATCACTCAAACAAACTTAAGTAGATTAACTCGTTAAGTAACAGTAGTTTTCATTGGTCAATTGAAACCTTAATATTTCAAATAAACGTAAGCCCCGCCAAAGCACACTCACTATAAACGGACAAACGTTGATCTGCATCAATAGGCTGATTGCGTACACGATCGTGTATTTCATTATTCCGTGGTTATTTTAGCTTTTATACTTGTGTAATTTTATTTATATTATTTTATGTCTTAAATTTTCATTTCTTCACAGCGAAATATTGAATTCAACTTCCTTTTCTCAAAACGTTCTTTCCTCCGTGCACGTCATTTGACCTCAGGTGGATAGTTGTATCATTGGCAACCATAAACTCATTATAGATACCAAGATTAAAATTGTGTACACCAGACGCGCTTTTCGTCTACGAAAGACTCATCAATATAACTTCTTATTTTTATATGGAAAATATTTTACGGTAAACTGTTTGTTCAATAAATTATTTTAAAAATTAAATTCTATCTTTTCTTTAGTTTATCACATCCTCATCATAGACTCCCTGACGTTTTGGCATCAGATATTACGTTTAGGTTTATCCTCACTCTCTCGTTAAATGTAAAACATTGTTCTTCTATTAAAAGGCATTACCATCATCGATAAGACAAAATTGAAGTCAGTAATAATGAAAATTTAGACAAAAAATATAATTTTAACTTTAAAAGCAGTTTATATTTTTTATGGTTTATTGCATACATATTTTAAAATGATATAAAAGTGTTAGCCTATTATGTGTGTTGCGTTCAATGCACATGTTTTGTGTGGGTTTTACATCAATTACTATGTTGAAGTTCTGGTATAGAGTTAGATGGTTCTACTATCATGTGTTTATATTTTTGAAACTAACTGTTAATCCAAGGTAAATACTGGACTACATTTTTAGCGTTCTATTACCCCTGGATAGACGGCATATTTTGTAAACAGATACCCTTAGACTGTTACCTGGACGACTACGGTAATTGTATATAGGAAATATGTAGGAATAAAAAGTTTATATGTATAAAATAAAACTGTAACAAACTCATCAATATTTTGTTTCTTTACACATTAAACTAGGCCCAATAATCCTAATGAGTTTTATAAATTTGAAGCAATCTATACAATTTATTTAGAAAAAGGAATACCCATCACCAGTTATAAAAAACAACTTAAATTTACATCATGCCATAATCCAGTAACTTTTAAAAGCAGAGAAGTTTGGGACTTCGGATCGATGAAGTTTAAGTAAGCTTTTAGTAAGTTTACTTGAATTTGAATTAAAAAAAGAGAAAGATGGGTTACTAATAGTACATTCCCTCTGAACCCGTTAATGCATTATTTTAAAATACATTGTCTTCAGTACATTATTGCTAGTGCATTTTAACTACGGCATATCAAAGAAATTTTGTTTTACAAGGTTATAACTACTTTGGGGCCCACAGTTTTCAAAGAAAATGGAAGTATTTTAAAATATTTTATTTCAATTCATCATCACTTATTTTTAAAGAAAACCACGCTTGCAAATATTCTAAACAGCTCTAATTTTCCAGTAAAAGACGAATTTGCATCATTAAATTCAAACCAGTATATCTATATTGTTCCTTAAAACTACATTTTGAATTTTACTTACATGTCAAGGCTAAAATCTAGAATATAATAGTATCCCATAAGTATTAAAGGTGTGATGGTGTGTATGTTAAAACTTTATATATATTTTTCATAATCCGGGATTTCTTTTTCCGTTCCACACATGCGGAAGAAAAACCTTCGATAGTGTTACATTTCGGCCCCTCTATTACACAAAAGTCCATGCAATTCATTATTTTTTCGTATATATCATGTAAGTACGTTGAACTGGTGTTCTGCTTTTTAAATTCTAATTTTTATATTATATTTTTTGATAATTAAACGGTATGAATATTTGCGCTTCTTGAAATGTTTATTTGAATATCGACGTCTCCTCCAGTGTTAACCGTAAAACATTTAGTGTTATCATTTCTTGTTGTATTGTGTATACTTTTCACTGGTATTGGCATGTAGATACGGATTTTGTGTTATTAAAATTTACTGTTACAAATTTTCGGAAATTATTTTAAATTAAGGAACGTATCTCCCTCATGCAAAGCTCTGATTCCTTCCCCGGCTTTGCCTTAACTTTTTGTTCTTTTTAGGCTTATACGCTCTTCATTGGATTTGCAAATATTTTGGAATCGAGCATCATTAAAGAGACATTGATTGTCGAAACACGCATCTTGTGCAGAAAAATTGGTACCGTTAATGTTATCTCACTCCTTTTCTGGTTGCATTAATTGAATTTTTGACCTGACAATGATGACATAAGACATAAAACCTACTAGGTAAAAGTTGTTACGTCAAGTGAAACAAAATCAGCACATAAACATGACAATCATTTTCCTTTAACGTATCATTTTGGTGGTAACTGGTCTTATGTCAACTTCAAAGGTCACGAATGTGATTTTCTAGTCTAAGCTTTTATAGTTATTCATATAATTATGCCACAATGTATTGTAGTTATGGCACTTGACCAAACAGATTGTGATTGCTTTGGAATGGCTATACTAAGTCATGGGGAAAATGGACGAATATCGACTCGGGATGGATCCATTACTTTGGAAAATGTTATAAGAAAAGTTAAGAAATGTGAAAGTTTACTTGGAAAACCAAAACTAATTTTTGTTCAGGTAAATTTGTTTAATTCTTTCCAACCATATATGAAATGTTTAATGAGACAGTGCCTTTTTTTATGGCTTCCCGTGATAGGAAATTACAACAAGTTGGTCTGGAATTATGAAAACGAAGTATTAGGCGATGATTGGTTTAATTTTGAAGAAGGGCACCGTATATAATTCAAGGCATAAATAAAAGTTCGTATTGCCTATTGAATATTGTTTATTGCGTGATGTACACCTGTTTTTTCATTATTCGTTGCTAGCAGCTTTTTTTTCTTCTTCTTCGGCCTTTTAAATTGTCAACATTTGGATTTTGTATGTAACAAATTCGCTTCTTTTTTTACTCTTACAGCTTTTAATTTGCTGTCTAATCTCCTTGTTTAAAAAAAAATAAAGCGATTTTTTGTTTGTTTACTGTAGAGTTGTCGACTGGACAATAATTTGACTACTGATGCGGCCATAGTACAAAGTATACCAAAACTAGCGATTGAATCAGACTTACTTGTATCGTATGCTACTACGAAAGGTGAATATGTGAAACTTACTTCTTTTTATGTTAAATGTTATAAAATATTCCCCTAGATTTCAAATTATATGTTTTTGACCCGTTAGTTCGTCCGTCCATCCCTCCGACCTGTTCTTGTCATCGCAACTCCTCTGAAACCAGACAACAGAATTTCATGAAACTTTGTAGATGATAAGGACATACTATGTAGATGTGCATATCGACAGGAATTTATGATTTAACTTTTCTAGGAGTTATGCCCCTTTGATCTTAATTTTGTTGCCTAAATATACTACTGCAAAAACAAAGTAAAATAACGAAAATACCGAACTCCAAGGAAAATTCAAATCGAAAAGTCCCTTATCAAATGGCGAAATCAAAAGCTTAATCACATCAAACAAATGGAAAACAACTGTCATATTCCCGACTTGGCAACAGTTTGTCATCGCAACTCCTCTGAAACCACACAACAGAATTTCATGAAACTCTGTAGATAATTAGGACATAATATGTAGATGTGCTTATCCACAAGAAATTTTTATCAATTGACTTTTGAAGGAGGTCTGAGTCTTTGAACTTAGGAATTTTGTGAGATTTGCACAGTGACAATGGTTGGGTGTGGGGTATGTGAGCGTGCTCACAAAGACTCTTTGATTTAGAAACAAATGCATGTATGAAAAAAGGAAAATTGAGGTTATATTGCAATGTGACAGCAATGTAACGACACTTTCAATTCAAAAGAAATATTTGGTCACGTAATTGAATGTTTTTCAACAACAATAAAGTGTCAGAGTATGCAATATGTCAAGTTCTCAATCGACAACAATCAGAAAAAAAATATCCTTAAATTTAACCGTAGTTATCAAATTACTACAATTATTTTATAAACTTTGTGTTCACAAAAAACCTTATTTCATATTGAAAATAAACAAAACACCCATTAATTACTAAATATTCGTATTCAGCTTAGTCTAAAAAAAAACCACACAAAACAACAAAAGACTGTGCATAACTAGCATGTCTCCCTTCCTAATCAAATTCAACTTATATGACTCTCTTAAGAAATAAAAAGAATTGGGCGATTAATAATACACTTTCATAAAAAAAGAGAGAAAATATAGAGAGGCATTCGAAATTCATCAGTGTAATATAAACACCACGGTAAAAGATCAAAAAGACGCACAGACAAACAACTAGTTTACATAAATAATTACGGTTTATGCAAACAAATGTAATGTAACTTTTGAACATCAGTGACACGTTCAGATATTTTTTAATTAAACTAAGAAAACAACTATTATATGGTTAATATGATTTGTGACATTGAAAAAGCCAGATCATATACACTATTATTATATACCTAATCTGATGTTTTTTTCACATAACATGACGTTATACAGATAAGGGATTTGTTTAAAGCCTTTGCAACCGGGACTGATATCATCAAATACAGAACGATTGCCAGTTTTTGCATTTAACGTACCATTTACCTGTATTATCTTCTTGGTTTATAACATATAAAAATATTACCACCGTATATCATGCAGTGTATATCAATCGATGTATTAATTAAAGCAACAGTAGTTGTATCGATGTTCAAATATAATAAATCAATCAAGAAGATACATATCAAGATAACAAACTAAAACCTATGGAATCGTATGGACACCAAAAGGATCGTACCCGGGTACCTCGACAGGGTTTGCATCTTCTAATTTGCATGAATCAACCGCCATGCGGATCCTGTCTAAGTCGAAAAGAAACAATTAGAAGTAGGCACAAATTGTTGTTCAGACGATTTTTCTGGTATATAAAAATCTTAGACTGCGTAGCCATGTCGTTAGAGAGTTGAGACACAGATACAACGTATAAAAACAGAGAGAAAAATTAAATACTGCAAATATCATTGGTTTGGTTTGTTTTTTCTTCTTTTCTATTTACTTTTTATGAATATTATCAGCGTATTAGTAGATGTAAATTTCATATTTTTACAATACAGGAAATGTTGCATATCGAAGTCCTGAATCGGGATCACCTTATATTCAAATACTAACAGAAATACTTGAGGCAAAGGGCGAAAAAGAAAGTCTTTTTGATTTATTGACGGAAGTTAATGCGAAGCTCCAAGAAATGATCCAATCATTGGGTGCTAGCTGTGAACAAGTATCAGTGTTCGAGACTACATTAAAGAAAAAACTACAGTTTGACAAAGTATGTACGAACACATTTAATCTGGACTATCAATCATCTGCTTTCAAGGTTACCCTAAAGTCTGTTAAAGCGGTTTAACACAAACGATCATATATCTGCTAGCATGGTTATCCTGTAAAGTCTGCTAAAGCAATTTCACATAGACTATCAAAGATCTGCTATGACGGTCACCCTATAAAGTTTGTTAAAATAATGTAGCACAGACTATCAAAGATCTGTTATGACGGTCACCCTATAAAGTTTGTTAAAATAATGTAGCACAGACTATCAAAGATATGCTATGACGGTCACCCTATAAAGTTTGTTAAAATAATGTAGCACAGACTATCAAAGATCTGCTATGACGGTCACCCTATAAAGTTTGTTAAAATAATGTAGCATAGACTATCAAAGATCTGCTATGACGGTCACCCTATAAAGTTTGTTTAAATAATGTAGCACAGACTATCAAAGATATGCTATGACGGTCACCCTATAAAGTTTGTTAAAATAATGTAGCATAGACTATCAAAGATCTGCTATGACGGTCACCCTATAAAGTTTGTTAAGATAATGTAGCACAGACTATCAAAAATCTGCTATGACGGTCACCCTATAAAGTTTGTTAAAATAATGTAGCACAGACTATCAAAGATCTGCTATGACGGTCACCCTATAAAGTTTGTTGAAATAATGTAGCACAGACTATCAAAGATCTGTTATGACGGTCACCCTATAAAGTTTGTTAAAATAATGTAGCACAGACTATCAAAGATCTACTATGACGGTCACCCTATAAAGTTTGTTAAAATAATGTAGCACAGACTATCAAAGATCTATTATGACGGTCACCCTATCAAAGGTCTGTCATCAATATGACCCTATAGGGTATGTTAAAGCAATTTAACACTAACTATAAAAAGTTCTGTCACGGTAACTAAAGTATGAGAGGATGGTTGCCAATAAGATACAACTATCCACTAGAAAGATAACAGTAATTATAGGTCACCATACAGCCTTCAACAATGAGAAAAAACTCATTTCGCTATTAAAGGCCCCAAAATGACAAATCTGAAACAATCCAAAACAAGAAAACTAACGGCCTAATTACAATACACTTTACGAAAAAAAAATATGACAGGCATAAAACAACGACAACCACTAAATAACAGTCTCCTTACTTGGGACAAACACATAAAGAATGTGACAGGGTTAGCCTAAAGAGTCCGTTAATAGCTCTTCAACTTCGTACTTTATTTGGGCTTTTAAAGAAAAATATTCGAGCGTCACTGATGAGTCTTTTGTAGACAAAACGCGCGTCAGGCGTACAAAAACTGTAATCCTCGTAATGACTAGTATGTGGAGTTTATTGAAAGCAATCTAGCATAAACTATAAAGATCTACCATCAAGGTTACCATATAAATCCGTTCAAGCCGTTTAACATATATAAACCCTCAAAGATCTGCGATCAAGTTTACCTTGTGTAGTCTGTTAAAACAGACTATATAAATAAAATGTGTTGATCGTGTTTATCTAAAGTTATAAACGGAACACCAGATCAATATAAAAATATGATTACAAGTAGTAGGAGATGAAAGTTTTACGATAACGAGACAATAACCCAGTGACACAAAACAAAACATCAAAAGGTCAACATCAAGCCGTCAATGATCGTAGATAAGTGTCTATCCGATATTTCAAGCTATATAATCTAGAAAAACTGTGAATCAATTATCAAAGTGGCGCGAACGAGTCTTGTTTGAGGTATGTTCTCAACCAATTTCCTTACACCCGCTTTTTAACCGATATGTAGCCTAGAAAGGGATATTTGATACCATGGCATATTTTGTCGAGCTGGAGTCTGTGAATTTCGTGAAGATAGGGAAACAATAAAGACAAACCCATTAAGAGTAATATTGTTACAAAAATTTTAAAATCAAATAATAAATGCTAGCAAACAGCAAGTAGTAAACAACAGAATATAAACATGAAAGTACTGCTGACTTTAGACATCAAAACAGTAAAACGGTATTTCAGAAGCATTTCTACAAATGTCCTACATGTACGTTGTATTATATAAATCTATTAGTTTATAATTTAAACGTCTTCGAAACCTTCAAATCAAAGAAGATAATCTTCTTAGACAGATATTGCTTAATACATAGAATGATCACATTAATCTTTTACATGTTTGTATTCGCTAAGTCCTTACAAACTATTTTAATCGGTGAACAAATTCGAACCCATCTCAAATGTAACCTTATGCGAAATAAAAATATCAACGGACCAGATTTCGATAAATCATAGTTCGGCATATGTATGGTATTTGGGAAACGATGATCATAAACCTTTTCCAATAATTTTAACTACCGATTTGTCGTTATTCTTTTCAATATTTGGAAGCAATTGACCACCTTCAACTTAGTCTTACTATTGAACAAGTCATGACAGATGCCTTGTGTCTATTTAAACCGTTAAAATACTAAAATTAATTAAAACACTTCAAAAATATTTTCAATTGTCTTCAAAACACAACCAACAAGCCAACTAGGCATTGGATCGCCATTTAATGACCACGATACACAAACTGCAAAAATTATACAAGCCTTAAAAATAATTGTGCTCCGAATGATTACTATAAAACTGTACATTTGAATACACAGAAATGTTAGATTGATGTATTAATTTTGAAAAAAAAAGAACAGCACTGACGAAGGCCATTTGTTTTGCCGAAGGTTTTTCTTCCTATACCATATAATTCCAAGGGTTACCACTTGATGTGGTAAATTTCACAATGTTATTATCAATGTTACAATATTTATTAATATTTAAATTAGAGGCAACAAATATAAAAATTTCATAAATCCACTACGAGGATATACATCAAGGAAAAAAACGAAAACTGAGGGAATCTTATGAGACCGGCTGCGTCGACATGGTAAGTGTTTGCTGCTTTGCATGCATCATCCGACTCGGAATCTACATGTACACACCGTCAAAATGTCACATACGGGAGTAGGACAATATCAGTCAATTTACAGATTAGACGACTATTCTGATATGTGAAGACCTAAGGAAGCGAAAACATGTCACTACTGGGTTAAGACACAGATATATCGTATCGGTCATCCAGTTCATGATGGTGACCTTAAAACTTGTGTAGTGGTGGCGATTCCAGTCTAATTTCTCATAACTCTGTTGAGTCGGGTTTTTTTTTGTCAGGTGCATACCCTTTTAATAAAGTCCGTATAGTTGCGTATAGTGTAAAAGAGAGGCGGAAGATACTAAAGGGATAATATAACCCATAAGTCGAAGACAAACTTTCAACGCAATGTCAAACGAAAAAACCACCAAAGGATAAACAGAAAAAAAGTATTAAAAGCGATGTTACTTTGCTTATGTTTTCCAATACGCGTAGTGATTTGATGTCATAAATTTGTACACCATATTCTTTCATTTTCATCATAATATGTATTATGTTTTAGATTGTTGCAGTTTATACGAAATATTCGGATGGAAGAATCGAATATGAGAACAAATTGGAGGAAAATATTCAAGATCAGACTTCTGTTAAGTCTACTCAAGATTTGAGAAATTAAATATTTGATAAATACAATATTTGATGTACGGGTATTTGTGTAAACATGTATCTTTTATTTTTCATGTACACTTTTCACAATGAAAATATGTAACATATACGAATTCGAACAGGGAGTCACAAAGAATATAAAAAAATATATGCATGACTACTGTAAAGTTTAAAAGATGACCCCATTAATGCATGGTAAAAGGTACTGCAGGTGCAGTAAAAGTAGCTGAGTCAAAGATGACCGCGAAACAATATGCTTAATAAGGGAATTTATTGCTTGCCTTAAATAAACTCGAACGGCACTTACTAGAGAGTAAATCATGAATTATCAGAATTCTGCGTTATTCAATAAATAGTGAAGACCTATATCTTTCTTTAATCTATTGGACACCATAAAAACACACAACTGTCCTAATAAATAACATGATATAGCCAAGACTGATACAATGAGGTATGAAACCTTTCTGAATTATAAACGTCTTTGTATGGCCACGCCGCACAGTGGTCGGGGCCATGTAGTTTTACCCTTTTCCGTCATTCCGTCATTTTGTCTTTCCGTCATTCCGTCATTTTGTCTTTTCGTCATTCCTCAACGAAGAGTTATACAGACTTTTTTCTAAACGCCTTCGCATATTGAGCTAATTTTATGTATATGAGTCTACTATGATGAGATACAGATCGAGTTTACGTTTGCTTCCACTCCTCTGGTTTTTGCCGAAATTACGGGCTTTTGACCTTGACAATTTCATGAAAATTACAGTAACTGTTATACTAACTTTTTTTTCGAAACACCTTCAGCTGATTTTTTTAAGCTGATTTTTAGTACGTGAGTACACTACCCATTGATGACCTTGGGCTGTTATCTGCTCTTTAGTTGGGTTGTTGTCTCTTTGACGCATTCCCCGTTTCCATTCTCAATTTAATGATCAGTTACAGACCAACTTTACGTTTGGTTCTGCTCCGCTGATTTTTGCCGAAATTAGGGCTTTTGACTTCGAAAAATTCGTGAAAATAACAGCTATACGGACTTTCATTCTCAAATTTCCACTCCTCAAAAATGACTTCAAGCTTTTTTTTTGGCGATCGGGACCATTCGTGTCGTTCCGACACATCTAGTTTATTAACAGTACAAACTGGTCTTTAAAATAACTAAATATCCGTGCTATAGAAGCGGGTCGGGGTTATTCAGATATGGATACTGAAGTTATCGAAAGATATGTTAAAATGAATTCAAAGGAAGTCCCACTCCTCGTGCGATAGTATAAAACATATTTAACTTTCCAATTACACAAGTAATCTTATTTTTAACTGTTAGTTCCCGAGGGTAATCTATCATGACTTTAGTTATGAGTGCTTCGGTACTATCATGAAAATTTTAAGATTCCAAATCCCTCAGGCAAAGTTGACCTTGGATAAATTTGACTAAACTTTGGTTCCTTTTGATGATAAAGCTAACGTTTTTACGTATTTATAAATCCATGGCTTTCAAATGTTTGGGTGTAAGCGTTCCTGCTTAAGGTCGAAAGAATTAGTTCAACTCATTTTCAGATTAAATATTGTCCAACATAGATAAAGATGTCTCGCTTAAGGAAGGGACAAACCATACATTATTATTCTTCACTACTGTGAATCAAATAAACGTTCTCTCCAACTGACATTACCATAGCGATTTATTTTTGTGATGACTACTTTGATGGACGTGTTTTTCTACAGACATTCTGCATTTCTATAGGAATCATATGCAATCCACTTCAAACAATTTGTTCGGGGAGGTAAACATCATAGAGGGACTTCCCAAAAATAAGAAGAATGAAAATAAGCTATCATTACCCCTTTACTTCACGTTCAGCTATATAAATTGTGTCTTGTCACCAAATTATTCTACTTTGAACCGCCTTGATGGTCTCGTGGTAGCGTGTTCATCCAGAGTGCGGGAGATCGTATGTTCTAACCTCTGCCGGGTCAAACTAAAACCAAAGACTTGAAAATTGGTATTTGCTGCTTCTCCGCCAAGCCCGCGACGTTCAGGAGTGAGAGCACAGACTGGCCTGCTCGGAGTCAGAATAATCTGACATTACTTCCTGCGGACTGTTACCTATTGAACTACACGTTAACGGTTAAAAATCCGGCTCAGCTTGTCGGTCTAGTATAAAGCCTGGTAGATACTCATACATTGTATCACATTATCATGTTCTTGGCCTGTATATGCATTTAATTTGACACTGGATGTTAAACAACCATCCATCCCGCGTCTCCTTCTTATCTTGACTTAGCTTTATCAAATGGCAAAATCAAAGCTCAAACACATCAATCGAACGGAAAACAACTGTCATATTCCTGACTTGGTACAGGCATTTCCTTATGTAGAAAATGGTAGATTAAACCTGGTTTAATAGCTCTAAACCTCTCACTTGTACGACAGTAACTGCGGGTACTCTGATATTATGTTTACCAATTGCAACAAGTATGTAAAGTTTACAGTTAATAATTCCAAGCAAACTCAAGTTTATGGTATATAACATACGAAATATGTACTTAAACCTGCCTATGAAAGTCTCGAAACTCTTAAATGACAAACAAGAAAAAAAAACCGATAGGGAGCTTCCTTTTATCAATCCCAACAATTATATAAAGTTTTTGAAGAAATCAATCCGAGTATACTGGAGTAAGTGTGGAATATGTGAAAAGTTGCTTTACATCTGGCGATAAAAGTCTCGTGACTCTGGAACGTCATAGCAAAAGAATCGAAAGGGATCTTTTTCCGACCATCCTAATGTTATGTTAAAATAACATGAAAATTGGTTAAAGCAAACATGTAAAATATCGTAGGAAGTGTTGACGGACAGACGAATGGACGAAACATTGGTTTACCATAATATTTCTCGTCTTCGACGGGCGAATAAAAACGAATAGGCAAAGATGTGAACACTAAAAGATCATACTGATTTTATTGCATTAGAAATTGGTTAAAGCAAATTTTCGTATGAACTGTTGGCGGACGGACGGACGACCGGACGAAAATTTGGTATTCAATAAAACGTCCCGTCTTCGACAGACGTATAATAACAAAAAGACAATTAAGATGTGAACACAAAAGTCATACTTTTATTGCAAACAGATAGTATCAATTTATTTTGTACATGTTTCACTCAAAGAATCAACGCTAAAAAGGTTTTCAACGCTATAGACATTGCTGAACATTGTAAATTAGCACGTTTTGCAAAATTGCATCGAATAATTAATTGATTGGTGTTTGCTTCACGTCCAGCTAGGATGAAATTTGAAAAAAAGGCAGGACAGGTGTTTTGAGTAAAAAAAAAGGCAGAATGAGCAACTTGGCAAAAAAAAAGGCAGGATGACAATTTATGTAATCAAAAGTCAGGATAAACTAATAAAAAAAAATACAGGACAGAATAGAGTGAAAAATAAAAAGGCAGGACAGAGATTACAACTAAAAAAAAAATGCAGGACACAATTTTTTATCCTAGCCCCCCCTCCCATGACCGTTAAACTTATGTAGTTTCTCATACTTCCTGTTTGAGCAGTTTTTAAGTCAGGAACATAGCCATGTTAACTGCCGAGAATTGAGAATTTGACTCCTCATGGTTGACAATGTCATAGATTTTAGTTTAAAGTCGTCCATCTTTACATGTGTCCACGTCATGTAGACTCTGGTGTATTGTTGTCTTAGGGACCGTTCAATATTTATCAGAAGGATGGGCCGGTGCATTCTTAATGTTTCATTAAAAAACTTGATGCCCATCCTTTTAAATTCTGCAAAAGAGTGCTTGCCCATCTAAACAATTCTATTAAAAAAAGTGCTTGCCCCTCTAAAACTTAAAGACAACCAATAATGATTTAGGTTCTTTTTCTATTTTAATGCTTGCATGTTTATGTCTGGAAATCAAAGAATAGACTTTGGTGTATATATTTTATATTTATATGTATCAGAATCAGAAATGATTTAAATCAATTTAAGTATGAATGTCATGAATATACTGTTACATATTATACATGTATATAGCTGATGTTATAAGTAAGTCTAAATTGAAAACAACGTTCAAACCTATATAGCTATGATTGCGTTGGATAAAAACCGCAATTTTTATACGTGTGCATGCAAAACAAATTTCTTGTTAGAGGGGTCTAAATACAGCACAAACAACATTTTCCAAAAGACCAAAAAAGTGAAAAAGTATATTTAAACAGAACGCATTTGACTAACAGGTCGAACAACGGATGTTCTTAAACCCTGCTGACTTCCATTGGCGATTGCCAAATAAACGGATCACAAGATGTAATAAAATGGATATTTTTTTAATTTATTAATGTAATACCAAATAGAAAACAATAAACTTGCGGAAAAGATGGTATACCGCAAACATGAGGTGCAAAAATTTGTACACCATATCCGGATTTCGACAATTAATGTCTCTTCAGTGATGTTGGGAATCGAAACGGTATTTGGAAGGCCATATAATTTACCTCAATTTAGGATAGACTCTTAAATTTTAAAGAGTCGAAATAGGATGAACGGATCATATAAACCCGAAGGCAAATATTATACAAGCCCAAACGAAAAAATATAAACAAGTCTAAACTGAAAACAACGTTCAAACATATGATTGCGTTGGATAAAAACCGCAATTTTTATACGTGTGCATGCAAAACAAATTTCTTGGTAGAGGGGTCTCAATACAGCACAAACAACATTTTCCAAAAGACCAAAAAAGTGAAAAAGTAAGACTCACAGGTCGAACAACGGATGTTCTTAAACCCTGCTGACTGCCATTGGTGATTGCCAAATAAACGGATCACAAGATGTAACAAAATGCCATTTAATGGATCTTTAGTTAATTTATTAATTTAATACCAAATAGAAAACAATAAACTTGCGGAAAAGATGGTATACCGCAAACATGAGGTGCAAAAATTTGTACACCATATCCGGATTTCGACAATTAATGTCTCTTCAGTGATGTTAGGTTCAAGTACAGCCTGTATACAATATACCTATAAACATCACAATTACATCTCAATACATAAGTCATAGTATACTATATCAGCAAGCCTTTAATAGAGACGTAAGAAGTGCTAACACTATTCACACAAATCATAAATAGACGAAAAAATATTCACCATAGTATTCAATGTACAAAGTTTATATTTATTCTGAAATCTGAGGTAATTTTAAATTTGAAACAGTTTAATGTATCTCTTCTTAAGTTCTATCAAATTATTGCATATGTGGTAGTTTCTTATACTGTCATTTTGAAATTAGTAAATATAAGTCAGTATGCAAATCTTTTTCTATAGTTATTTTATATTTCGAAGAATTGATCAGTAACTATATACTGAATATATTA